TGTACAATAATTATGTACATATAGATTTGAGTAATGCTAATTGCATCGCTCACTGTAGCAGTCGCCCTATGTGGCACACATATGGCATATAGTTATTTTGTGCATTAATGTGGTAGTTTTTGATCGCATTTAATGCATCAAATACACACTTGACATGTGTGTGCTCATAGGGCAACTGCTGCGATGAGCGACTGCAAGTAACATTATTCTATAGATTTATCCATCTTTTAATAATCTTTGCAATAATGTCATTTTCAATTTTTTTTTATCCACAATTTAAATATTTTGTATGTGTGTTTGGTGTGGATTAAAATTAGATTTTTAGTAGATTGTGATAGAAGTTTTTGAAATTTGTGGTTGAAAAGTTGTGGGATCCATAAAAAATGTGGTTAATTTTGATTGATTGACTTTGACTCGGATTAAAATTAGATTTTAATCCGAACCAAACATGGATGTCATTTGACTTTATAAAAAAAATTAGAAAAAAAAAGAGTGAAAAAAAGAGAAAAATATCACATCAAACCCAGGCCATCCTCAACCCACCCACCACTTCAATGTTCTTAATCATTCAACTCATATGTTATATTTAACTAATTACTACCCATTTTTATGCTTTTATTTTACTCTGTGTATTTTGTGCGAGTGTGTGTGGTTAATCATTTCTTAACAGTGAATCTTGGTAAATTTTTCACTTTTTTGGATATGTTTTGCGTGTGATTTAGTTGAAAAAGTCTGATATTATTAAGTTATGGGGTATTAAGATCAAATGTTGCGAGTTTATTTATTTATTTTGTTCTTTCCATTTATATATTTGTAGAATTTTGGTATTAGTATATTAACAATCCAGTGACTTGCTTGTGATTGGTAAACAATTCTGGTAATAAAAATAAAAGATTAGCACAGCCTCAGCCTCTGCCATCAGACTGAATTAGGTAAAGATTTCTTGCTGTTTGAATCACGTGCTGGTGAATTCTTCACTCGTCAATGGTCTAGTCCATTTTGTTGTTCTAAACAATCAACAGAAAAGTTGAAATTAGGATTGTTACAGGTATTTCTTGTAGTTCTAAATTCTCCTGCGATGAGAGTCTTGAAAGTTGAAATTAGAAATTGCAATTGAATTCAAACGCTTGAATTGCTACAAGCACTTGATCATGGTGAAATTGCTACAAGCATTTGTTATCGAGAAATTTTATGTCAAATTGCGCGATTTGTACCATTGGGGAACTTGTCTTTTCTCATCAATCTAACAAGTCGAGAAAATGGAGCATTTACATAAAGAATCCTAGAGTTAATTGTTTCAATAATCACTCAACTTAATCATGGTCACGGTTTACTCACTAAACTTTAAAGTGTTTCATAGTGCTCACTGAACTTTGTCTGTTTACACTCCGTTCATCACCTTCAAAAATTCGTTTCTTTATTCGTTAACGTGGCTAACGAAAATCTGACGTGGCAAGTTACGGTCGTTAAAAAATGACAACACAGCCAAATCATTACTTCATTATTCATCCAACTTATATTTGGTTACAGTTTATTCATCGAATTTCAAAATGCTTCCTAATGATCACTCATCTTTGAGATGTTGCACTCCATTCATCATCCGTCATATTTTGTTCCCTTCATTCTTAATGTTCGGGCAAAAATTTCACGTGGTAAGTTACAGATATTAAAAAAATTGCAACTCAACAAAATTTAAATCACAAAAATCACCATATGTGGAACGTGACTTCCATGGCCCCCATCAACTTCTTTAAAACTCAATAAAGCGTCCTCATTGATTTTTTTAGAAATATCATTTTTCTAATTCGAACGTTTACTGTACAAAAAATAGTTTTTAATTTGAAACTGAAACTCTGAAGCATATCTTGGTTGTGTATGCTTTATTGGATGTTAAAAAAGTTTATGAGGTGTGGAAGTCGTGTTTCACATATGGTAAACGTTCCAACCAAACAAGTTATGCTTCAGAGTTTCACTTTCAAATTAAAACTTATTTTTTGCACAGTAAATGTTTAAATTAGAAAAATGATATTTCTAAAAAAATTATTGGGGACACTTTATTGGATTTTAAAGATGTTGATGGGGGCCGTGGAAGTCACGTTTCACATATGGTGATTTTAGTGAGTTAAATTTTGTTAAGTTGCAATTTTTTTAACATGTATAACGTACGTGGAATTTTTGTGCGAACATTAGAAATGAAGGGAACAAAATATGATGAATGAAGTGCAACATCTCAAAGATAAGTGACTATTGTGAAGCATTTTGAAATTCGATGAGTAAACTGTGACCAAATATAAGTTGGATGAGTAATGAAATAATGATTTGGCTGAGTTGTCATTTTTTAACGGCCGTAACTTGCCACGTTAGATTTTCGTTAGCCACGTCAACGAATAAGGTAACGAATTTTTGAGGGTGATGGACGCAGTGCAAACAGAAAAAGTTCAGTGAGCACTGTGAAGCACTTTAACGTTCAGTGAGTAAATCGTGACGATGATGAAGTTGAATGATTATTGAAACAATTTACTCAAGAATCTAGCTAACATTTTCTGGATGAGGAGTTTTATAAGGAAGTCGCAATACTTTTCAAGTGAGAGAGAGTCTCTTGTTTGCATCAAGTGTTTGTTTAGAGCATTAATTCTTACTTTAGTAAATATTTCCGTGACATTCCATTTTTCTATGCTTGCAGTCGTTCCAATGGTCGTGCTGGAAAAGCCATCTTTTTTACGTAATGTATAGCAGACCGAACTATCGAGAAGGTCAAATCCCGACTGGACTGAATGCTATGTATTGTTTTCAAAATGTGGATGAATGATTTACTAAACAATTTTATGTTAAAACGTATAGTTTTAGGATTTATGAGAAACCATGTTTATATCCATTGTAGGATGTGTGTAGTTTATATTCATATATGAAAAATCAATTTTATCATGTCGTACATTGTAGTTCGTAAATCGATTCCCGTGTAATGTGTAGCACGTCAAACTACAGCTATCGAGCATGTAGTGTTTTGTATAAATTTAATATATCGGACTTTAAATGCATACAAAAGGCACCTACGAATAAATTATACCAGTCAGTTGCAAACTGATTAGACAGAGAGTTAAAATAATTAATATCAATCCCTACAGTAAAGAAATGTCGAGATTGACATTTGAACTGTCTCTTTTGGCACTCAGCATCCGACGAGATCGCATTTAAGGTATATGGTGGAGAAATATATTTTATAATGCATTAAGTATGTTCATCAATGCTCAACAACTAAATGACCAAAATTTGACAAATAATTTACACAATGCTATATTAAAATAGGAAATATTCCAAAATTTTATAGAGATGATTTTGACAGAATTTACACAATGCTAACTTACATGTGAGCATCTCCTTTGTTGAAGAAAGAAAACATTTTGTATACTACCAACATCTATTTATCACCTTGTTGAAGTAATAACCTATGCCGGTAATGGTTATCTTAACAACATTGATGGTTGTGACACAATTGCCTGGCCATTTTGTAACTTTTGTTACTTAATTTAAAAAAACAATGTACATCCATTATTGTGAATCTAGTACCTATTACTGTTATATATCGGATTTTTTTCGAACTAGTTAAACAAGTTGACATGAACAGTTTGTGCAGATATATTGAAATCAATTTTGCTGGGTTAAATTTTCATTTTCGAAATGTATCGACCATTATTTATTTTCTTATTTTCATTACAAACTTCCTTTTAATTGTATGCTATTGTATTGTTACAATATATTTGAGTGATTCATACACATTAATTGCTTACAACAACTATTTCATAACAATTAATGCAAGAATAATATAACGAGTTTAAGATACACTTTCATCAAGAACATGGAAGTTTAAGGGACAAATGGACATCTAATATCTGAACACATTACACCAATGTTAATTAAGCAATAACTTCATCTACATACACAAAATGTCCATCGTGATCCACGATGAATCTCAAATTATTATTCATACTTGAAATTTTGAAATAGCAACGATAAGTGTCACTTATAAATAAATTATACCAAACAATAGCAAACGGGTGAAAATGAGAGTACAAATGTTTTTCCCGACATTTACGAAACGCTGAGTTCGATATTTTAACTGTCAGTCTCTACAATTTCGTTCAACAATGAAAATCAGTACCTACGATGTTATGAATTTTTTTATTTTATTTTATTTTTTATTTTTGGATAAGAATTCTATTCCCGATTGGATTATGCATATATTTAATGGTTTTCCTTGCACTAGTCTAATCATCAAATCATACCATTAATGAGCAATAAAAGGGATACAAACATTGTATCCCTAAGTTAGGCTCAATTATTGACAAGGAGGAAGGAGTACTCGAAGGGTGTAAAATTAAGGGTTTTGGGATACAAAGGTTGTTACTCCAAGAAAATGGAGTGTGGTAATAAGCACTTCAGAAGTTAGGTTGGGAAGTCTAGCTCAGACCATTAGAAAAGGATAACTAGCTAAAGAATCGAGTTTATTCAGACGCTCTTTGATTTCATCGATAAAACAGGGCTGGACAATCTAAATACCCCACTTCATCATTCCCGGATAACATACCTCGATAGAGTGCAGGCGGCACCACATTCCTAGAGCCCCTGTCGATATAAGCTAGAGTTCATACAAATTATCACCAAATCAGATAAACAAGCATTCATAGCATGAAAACACCGCAGATGCACGCAAATGCACCTGCAAGGTTTCATGTGCTGGCAAACGCTTAAACCAAAATGAAACCGGAAACTTAAACCTGAAATAACTTTGATAACTGGTCTAGAGAAAATATCTTGTACAATCCAGTGTCAAAAGGATATGGCCTCAACCTTCTTAAGTATTAACACCAACTGTCGTCTATATCCAGAAATATGAAAAACCAAGCCATATTTCAATCCATAAACTCCGGAATATCAAAAGGATGAACTGACCATGAAAAATTAAACAACAGTCTCACAGAAGAATAATAGAAATCCCAACCTCAAGAACCCAAGAGCTCCTTTATACCAGCTTTCTGACTCGATGTCAACCTTGCAGGAAATTTTATATCGAATTTAATTCTCAAATTCCCTTTCTTAGTTGGATCTTTCGAAATCGGCATGCCTTCTCTTGGGACAACCTCCTCGTAAGTTGGATGGATCACGTTGTTGATGGGAATTGTTAGATTCCTGCCATCTAGCGTAGTAACGTGCACTGTGCAACCAGTTAATGCTTCAACCAGAGATATTTTTTCTGTAACAACCAAGTCGTTCCCATCACGAGTGAAAATTCTATGGGGTTTCTCATCAACAATGAACACAAGATCTGAAGCTATTTGATTTGGATGCTCATTCCCTTTCTCCTGGAAGGTGATCTTCGTACCTTTCTTCCAGCCAGGCTTGATATTAATCGTCAAGATTTCCTCCACAGGCACTGTTTTCCTGCCAATAACCAGAAGATAACGTAAGACACAGTTTACATAACCAATTGGAGATAGACAACATATCAAAGAAAATGCCTTTGGCCACTTAAGAAAGAAAAGTTCCACTTAACATCATTTCCATATAATTCGGTTTCAAGTAAAGATTAATCAGCTTTCTCATAAAGTTTCCTAATAAATGATGTCGCAGTCAGTGTTTTCTCCGTTCCAGCGTAGAAAAGTCGAGCAACCTATTTGTTGGTACTAGATTTTGTACAACAAAAACAACTAAAATAAGAAGATTTTAAAGAAGTAAACTTTAATTACTATGACTTCAATATAATTAGTAAATATGGAAGATTTATAATTGCAAATATAGGCCCGCCAAAAGAAATTGCTGTGTATATGCATCTAAGGAAGCACTGACACGAACGACACAAGACACGGGCCAACCAACACACAATTTTCAAATAAGTGTCCCTACATGCTGATTAAATAATATTAATTTTTTATTTTACGTGTCCAATGGTACCAAATCAAAATACAATTTGGACACACCACGTGATGTTTCCGACACATTCAGACATCTACTCGCCAGAGTTGACGGGGGGTGCCGGTGCATTCTAGATATACATACAACAGCAAAAGGTTGCACTACCCCTGCTGGCAGACACCATACATGCAATAGTGATGGTCCCTTACAATGGTTTTAAGGGATACATCTACCAATTCATTAATATAGCTGAGTTATTAACTGTCCATACAAAACACTGGCAAATATGACTCGAATCCTGTTAACTACAATTGTACAACAATTAGCCTACATCTCAAACTTATAGGTCATGGTCAAATTCGCCTGTGTGATGAACCTTTTAAAAACTAAAATAATAAAAACCAGTACGGCACTGAAATCAAATGAATGATTGTGTTTCCTGTCAAACTAAATACACACCGCAGCTACTGTAACAAAGTTAATTGGGCTTCTGCAACGAAAGCAGGTATGTGTCCAGGTGGCAAAGGACCTCAAAAGCTAGAAAAAAAATCTACTTCATTTTATATCATCCGACATAATGTAAAGTTTGAAACATGCATTCCACTCTATAGAAAGAAATTATATAACAAATCAAACATCTTTGACATGCTTTAAAGCTTCTGATAAATAAACAACAGAAGATAAATGCTTGACACCCTTGTTTGTCAGGTATCCAACGCTGAAGCAATGAACTATAATCCATATCAAAGGAACATTCAAGTGAAGAACCTGATGGTCAAATTCGTGTGTAGCAACAGATACTATACATGGAATTGTATAATCACCCCGAATGTTGAATCTTTCTTGCAAAAGAGACTAGTAGGTCCCACAACATCATTACTATGTTTCCATTTTCCAATTTTTGTGGTCTGATAACCCCCTCCCTCTCTCACTCCATCTCCAGTTTTGCCTTAGTGACACTCTCTTTTGCTGTATAGACACACTGCCTCTGTCTAATTACTAAATGACCTAGCGTGAAAGGTAAGGAACATATGCAGGAAAACTGCATTTGAGTCATGTCTAATATAAAGAACCAATTATTATAATTCGATTGAATAGCTATGTAGGAGATACCAAAAACAAATAAAGCTAATAACATTCGTCACCATTTCTTTGGCGAAGTTCACATTCTTCGAACATGCTATATAACATGTTTATCCAATCCAGTCTCCACCTAATTTAAAATTCTATCCCTCTCCCATCCACCTCTGCATCTCCGCCCTTAGAAAAGTGTATCTTCACAGAAGCCGTAAAAGCAATTGATACAACCAAAATTCAATAAAGTCGTTAACGGACAAATCTGAAGACTTCAGGTTACTTGGGAAGTTACGGAAAATTCTTTGTAAATGATGGCCACGTGCAGTGGCTACTGACTAGCGACAAGCCAGGACAAATGACTGAAGAGAAGAAGTGAGCTTTGAGCTTTACATTATCATTATTCTTTTCCTTTCCTTTTAGCTTCACAAAGTTTGATTTGAACCTCATTCTTAATCATACATTTGACTGACCCCTGACGATACTACCTGACCTTTTTCTCGCCATGGTCCAATCGAGTCTAAATCTAATGAAAATGCTAGAAAATTCCATCCACCCCTAACCTCCGCCCTTAAAAAAGTATAACTTCATCCGAAGTCAAAAGCCATAAAAGCAAATATCGCAACCCAAACTAAGATAAAGTCATCAATGGACAAAATACGAAGGCTTATTAATGAAAGTGATACCAATACAGAACGTCATAAGAGTTAGAGGAGATGAAGGAAAGATTATGCTTGCTTAGAGGTTAAGGAATATTTTTGTAAATGATTGCCACATGGTGTGACTAGTGACAAGCCAGGGTCCAAATGATCGGAGAGAAGTAGAAGTCAACTTTACATTATCTATATTTTTTAAAAATATTTATATTTCACAAAGTTTGACTTGAACCTTGTTCTTAATTGTACATTCAACTGCTCCCTGATGAATACCTGGCCCTTTCTCACCATTGACCAATCAAATCTTAAATGAAAATTCTACTCTCTTTCATCCACCTCCGCCCTTGTAAAAGTATAGCAATTAAAGCAACCCAAAATACTATGAAGTCGTTAATGGACAAAATCTGAAGCCGTACTAGTGAGAGTGATACCAATACAAGAACAAAGAGATAGTCAATATGAAGGAAAGCCTTAAGCTTACTTGGAAGTTGAGGAATATTCTTTGTAAACAATCACATAATACTGACTTTCATCAATGAAAAATCCAAGCAACAAGAAAAATACTTATGCAAAATATCTGAGACAGCATAACATTTGAGTTTACCCTAATTGCCAATAACATATCCTTTTATGTCATTATAAATTACACGGAGCACCTTTTGACTTGACATCTGTAATCTAGAAGAAGAGTTACTAAAAAAAGATATAATAATTATCATTAATTTCATCAAGTTGCAACAAGAAACTTTCAAAAGGCACATAACTACTAACTTTGTTCAAGACATAAATACAAGACTGTTATCCGTATGAACGTCTACGCAGACACCATAAGGAAATAAACTCTCATCTGATTCTCATGACAAATGAAGAGAAATCATAACCAATCTCGTAAATCAAGAAAAAAAATGCATCAGACGGCCAGCTCCAATCATCGTGGCTCGAATCAAAATCAGACTTAACTACTCGATATTCAATAATTTGCATCATCTCATTAGAAACTTTATTTATCAAGACAAGTATACAATGCAACCGTACCATACTAATATTAAGGTAGCATTTAACTACCTTTTTCAACAACAGTTGGGCAAGAATTTCAATATGATAAAACAACTAAAGTTTTCAATCCCAAGAAAAAAAAATATTCTCAGGATCATTAGTTAATTTTGAATGACATGACGAATGGTACTTACCCACTTGCATCAAGAATTTCCCTTGAAATTTTCATCTTCTTGGTGGTTCCCTTATAGAGATCTTCAAGTGTACAAGGCAACCTCTGCTCGATAGGAGCTCCTTTTCTTGGCGCTGATTGATATCCACCACCGCCACCACCTTCGCCAAAAGTCGCAAACATATCATCATCAAACATGCCTCCAAACCTAGCACTCCTCATTCCACTACCACCACCTCCCATTCCTCCAAAGGGGCTTGAAATTCCAAAAAACTCATTAAATATATCATCAGCATTTCTGGTATTGAACCGGAAAGATGTAGGTCCACCCCCCGTAGAGAAGCAGGTGGGTCCTCCAGGCCCACCAGCGTCTGGCGGTGGCACCTGCCCCATCAGCCCCTCTTCACCGTACTGATCATACACTGCTCTCTTCTGAGGATCACTTAGACCTGCCCCTTCAGCCCCTCTTCACCGTACTGATCATACACTGCTCTCTTCTGAGGATCACTTAGCACCTGGTAGAAAAACAATAATCAATTTACTTCTACTTCATCCCCGTAATCATAACACAATTCCAATGCCTTGAATATTATGAGCCAAACTAAAAAGATACGATTTTTGAATCATATTCATCACCAATACATAAAAGATTAATTTTTTTAAAATCTAACAGATAATCCAAGAACATAGACCAAAACCCTAATCATAAAATCGGCTCACATCAAACCCACATCGATTAATAAGTTCTGAAAAAAAAAAACTTACATCATAGGCTTCAGAAATCTGCTTGAATTTGGCTTCCGCTTCTTTCTTATTATTGGGATTCTTGTCGGGGTGCCATTTCATGGCGAGCTTTCTATAAGCCTTCTTCAAGTCGTCATCTTTCGCACTTTTATCCACCTGCAAAATCTTGTAATAATCCACCCCCATCTCCCCTTCCGCGCTTCTCTTTCTCTTCTTCACTTTGCCAAAACTTCTATTTCCCCTCTTCAAAATTAATTATTTCAAAACCCCAGAAATCTTGAACAAATATAGCAACAAAATCTTGGCCTCTTCAAATGTTTGTGAATATTTGGCAATGAAATGTACGTGGGTCTAGAGTTTATAGATTATTGGCATAGCTTTCTGTGTCATATGTGTTATTTAAGAGAATGCGTGTGTGTGTGTGACAGAACGGGAGAAAATAGACCGCTCTGGATACATACAAGCGAACTGTGGAAGCTTCTAGAAACAGCTAGCAACTTTTAGTTACAAAATTACATGGATTGACTATTATAATTGTCACGGTACATTATAGTCCGTCGAATTCTTCACAATGGGTGAAATAGTAGCAAGGTAGACCTCCGTGTTCGCCTTGATGAGTGCAGTGGTCCGGTTGCCCTAGTTGGTGGTTGCTATCTGCAAAATGAGGTTGGGGCTTTCTCCCCCATTGTACCTCCGGCGTGAAAATTAGTAACGAGTTTTGAGAAGTATGTATGGAATGCAAATAGTTCGGGTTTCAAGAAGCCATACCTTTTCTTACATTGGGGTATTTATAGGCACCTGATGGCACGCCCCCTGCTCCGCGATTTACGGTACCACGTGTCCCACGTATGCCTTCCCACTCCCCCACGTTCTGTAGCGTTAACACCCACTCGCATTGCGGTTGGTCATGGCCGAGTTTGATGTTGGGTGATTCTTGTCTCTCTCATGGCCATTTATTTGGCTAAGTATAGTGGGGTCGACGTCGCGGGCCTCTTAATAGTAGACGGCCCATGGGGGTCGATGTCACCATGGGGGGGGGTGCATTGAGTAGCGGTCTTCGAGAAAAATCGTTAATACCATCCTATATCACTAGCCCCTCTGCCTCTTGTTGAGACTTATCGATAAGAGGTAGCATTTTATGATGCTGAACGGAAGTTTTGGGTTCAAACCAACTGGAAATGGAAAAACGAAAGTATCGCTAAAACCTCAATTGTCCGGTAGAAGGCCTTAGAGTGCGAATTTGGGGTTGGAAACGTCATCAACCGGGGTTTCCCCGTAGAGCTCTGAGAGACGTTTCCGAAAACATATTATAATAGAAAATCTGACAATGGTGCAAAAAGTTATGACCGTTTCTTTAATTCCAATGCCAATCGTCTGTGTGGCGCTCCACCATTGGTCCTTGGTTTTGGGGGGAAATTTCCCCCCAAAAATCTCAAAATTTTCAAAGCCTC